TAAATAATTTATCTAGTTATAGCTAGAAATTAAAGAATTAATACTAAATTATAATATATTAATATTTATTATTTATAGCTTTAATAAGAATATTAATATATTATTTAAGGTATTATATCTTCTAATAAAGATATACTAGTAGATAGATTTATAAAGAACCTTTTACTATAGTTATTTATTTATTTTTAAGATTTAATTAGAATTATAAAGTTTAAAAGTAATAAGAGTTTAATTTAGACTAAAACCTAATAATAATATCTTTAGATATTAATAGAAAAAAAAGGGATAAAAAATATAAAAAAGGTATAAAATAATCTTATTATTTATTAGTAAGATTTTTTATTAAATAATTTATAATAGCTTTATACTATTCTAATTTAACTAAATAAGTATTAAATATAATTTTATATCTATAGAATAAGCTAAAAGACTTATACTTACTTATAATTACTATTATCTTAAAAAAGGTTTAAGTAGAATTCTATTCCTTTTTATAAGCCTTAAGACCTATTAAAGTCTAATATTATTTAGTAAGAAAAGCCTTAATTATAAACTCTTTTATAATTTTTAATAATATAGAAGTAAAGGAATTTATTTTATTAATAATTAAAAAACTAATAACCTTAAGATTATCTAAAAAGTTAATTTTTATAGCTAGAAGTTAAAATAAAATATATAAAAAGAAAGGATTCTTAAAAGACTTAATTAGAATATAATTAAGAATAAAAGGATAGAAAAGAAGTATAAACTTAATAGCCTAATATTAAGTTCTTTTTATATAATATTTAAAATAATAACTTATTAGCTTATTATAATAAAGAGAAGTAGTATTAATTAAGGTTATAATATAATAATACTTATAACTTTAAAGGTTTCCTATAAAGGAATATATATATATTATATATAGGACTTTATAAAGATTATTAAGAGTATATATAATAGTTTAAGTTATAATTATAAACTTTTTTTAGGTTTTTAAGGATACTTAAGTATTCTTTTTAACTAAATTAAGGGTAAGGGAATAGTTATTAATATTATTTAAGCCTAAAAAGGTAAAGAATAATATAATAATATTATTTAAGTCTATATTATTAAGATTAAAAGTTAATAAAAAATAAAATAATTAAAAAGAATAATATATACTTTTAAAATTAAATATAATAAATATACTATTTACCTTTTAAACCTTTATAGAAATTAAAAGCTAAAACTATTTTATTAAATTTAAGTTATTAATACCTTATAAATACTTTAAAGTAAAGATAATATATTTAAAGTTAATAATATTATTAAGATTAAAGGTTTCTTTATAAGTAAAAAAAAAATAAAAATAAGGTATATTAAAAATAATAAATAAAGGAAAAGAAACTAGTCTTTTAAAGAATTAGAAGTAATTTAAATACTCTTATATAATTATTAAAAATACCTTATTTTATATATTATAATAAGATTATATTATTAGAAAGTAATATATTATTAAAGCTATTATTATTTTACTTTTAAATAATTAAAGAAAATAATATAGGTAAGTTAATAAATATAGAAAGAAAAAGAGGATAAAATAATTATAATAGGATTAAAAAGAACTATATATATAAAGAACTTAAATATTCTTTAATTTAATAAAAGTAGTTATAAAAGATTAATTTATTAAAAAATACTATTCTTAATTAAATTCTAAAATACTTCTTTAAAATAATATAAATAAAAGAAAAAAGAATCTACTTAGAAGGTATATTATAATTTAAGTAAAGATTATAGTATATATAATTAGCTAAAGACCTACTTATAATAAAAAGCTAAAAAAAGATAGTAATATATAAATAAAAGAGTTAAATTTAAAAAAACTAATCTTAATTATTAATAGAATTAGGTAATAAAAAGATATATTAAAAGAGTATAATTAGGCTAATTAACTAGACTAGAAAATAGGTATAAAAAGGAAGGAATTTCTTTTTTTAGTTAAAAAAGAATAAGGTAAAAATAGCTATAAGTTCTAATATATATTATTCTTTAACTCTATTATATAAAATTACTCTTAGTTATAACTAGTTATCTAATATCTATATTAGCCTGCTTATATAATTCATAAGACCCACGCCATCTTCGTATTGCTGCCACGCTCGGACGAGGCAAGGCGATACGATATGGCAACTCACATGCGGAAAACCGGCCATACACGTTTTCGCAAGCATCTACATGTGGGAACACATCTCGCCGGGTACTGGTTGATGTTTGAGAAAAGAAATAAAAGAAGAAATGAAAGATGGGGTCTTTACATGAAAACCCAACTAGTTGGGTGTGCCGGTTCAATACTCGGGCTTGTGCTGTGGCTGTTGTACGAGCCGTTTCTATTTCATCCTGCGTCGACTCTGAGTAGACGATACGCCTGTGAATACTACTTTATACACGGAGACTACTTTATACAAGGAACAAAAGAGCAGCCGGCTAAATCGGCAGGAACTGTCGACTCTGTGCAAGTGCTGCTTACATGTACACACAGGTCGTACGGGCGTGACAACAAAGGTAACATCTACCCATCATCTAGGTGAAGCTTGAGTTCATAATTAATAGGAAAATATGCAGTGAGCTGGAATCTAAGGGCATCACAATAGGATACGTCATGTAAGCCCTTTGCCTTTTGTTACGCCCGTTGTCCAGCAACGGTCTTTGACAATCTTGTGGCGCCTAGGAACCAGCAGCCATCATAATCACAGCCATTTCCCGGCACTCATAGAGCATACAAAAATAATACAACTCGCGCACTAGTCAAAGAGCATTTGGCGCCATAGTAGCCATGAGACTTGTCTCGGCAGCATAATACAGTTTCAAGCCAGAGAGCACGCATTGTTGGTCTTCCACGGCTTACACGGGGCCATTCTGGAGAACCCTGGCGACACGCAGCTTCTTCTTTCGCGCATGGTCAATTGGAAACACTCCAAAGCCAAGTCCAGGGCCACATGGGCGGTTCGCAGGCCCTGTGCAGCAGGTGTTCGTGGCGGGCAGCCTGCTCTGGTCGCACAGTATGACCAACACGCAACCACGCACAGGCATCGACACGTTGACAAAGCACCTATACATGATACATTATCCAGCTCTTGTGCAACACGCGCGGGCGATACGCAGAAACTCGCTTCATAATCGTAACACATTTGATGCAGTCAGTGGACCTAACAAAGCTTCAAGACACTTCTGAACAAAGGTTCTCCTACACCATGGCGACAGCTGGACGGTGTTGTTCTCTAGGTAGGCGCTTGCCTGGCTGTTTCTATCAATCCTACGCTTCGCAACAAGGGAGTTGTTTGCAATATATATAACCCGTCTGCATCTCCTCCCCCAGCACCACACACCCCGTCTTCTCATCATCCAACCAAACAACTTTCCACGTCCACTACCGAACGTACACCTTGCTCACCATGGCTCGCTTCGCCACCATGCTCATCGCCGCCGCCGTCGGCATCATCCCAGCCTCCGCCACGGGCACGACCGCCGCCAGCGGCGCCGCGCCCACCACCTTCGCCACCGTGATCACTCCGGGCAGCGTCTCCGCCATGGATGCCCCCACCACGTCTGGCGCCGCCGCCCCGACAGCCGGCGGTGCCGGCGGTGCTTGTGAGTTTTCTTCTCCCAGCAACCTTGCCATGATGGGCAACGGGAGAGCTTTTTTTCTTTTGGCGGAGAGCTAACCTTGCTTTCCCCCCTCCTCTAGGCGGCAATCAGTATGCCATCGTCACCGGGGACACTTGCTACAAGATTGCAGAGGCTTACGGCATGCCGTTGGCCTCATTGTAAGTCGAAAACGCACCGCCACGGGGAAAAAGAGATAAATACAAAAAGCTTTCTAACGTTTTAAACATAGCCAAGCACTGAACGCTAGTCCTACGCCGATTCAATGCGATTCGCTGTCTGTCGACGCCAAGGTCTGCGTTGGCACCGCCACTGCTGCTCCTGCTACTGGGGGCATGGCGACGGGACCCAATGCCACACCCAGCCCTCCTCCCACATCTGCTCCGGCTCCGGCTGGTCCGGCGCCGTCTGGTCCTGCGCCGTCTGCTCCTGCGCCGTCTGCTCCTGCGCCGTCTGCTCCTGCGCCAGCTGCTCCTGCGCCAGCTGCTCCTTCCGGCGGCAATGCCTTTGCCTGCGATGCTCCCGCCCCGTCCGGCCCAGCTGCTCCAGCCCCGTCCGGCCCAGCTGCTCCAGCCCCGGTCGTCTCATCGGCTTGCCCTGTTCCGACTCCTAGCTGCAAATAGCTCGACAGAGCGACCAAGCAACCATCGCCACTTCCGGAGCAATGCCCCGGCGGCTTCTCCATGGGAGCTTGTCAATAGGCGAAAAGAGGTCCCTATATCCAGTCCAGACTGGCTGGCGCCCGAGCTGGCTGTGGCCAAGCGCGCCTACCTACACTGTACATAGCTGAGATTATCTCACCGCGGGTATAAAAAATCGGAAAGGGAAAAAAAAAGGAAGCGCATTATCATTAGATTAGATGCAAAAACCACGCTCGTTTTGTTCAAGTCAACAATCATACCCCCTGAAGCCGGCCCCGTTACCCTGACACCCAAGGGAGTCAGGCCGCCCAACGTGGGTGCTGTCTGTTATACCGATAGGCAGAAGCAGCCCATCTTGTTTTGGCTACTGTAGTTGCGTTTTCTGTATGTCTCATCGACGGGCGAGTAACGTAAAACACTGAATGGTTCGTAACTATTTTAGTTACTGGTGGTCGCACCCATTCGTTTGTAATCCGACTATCGTAAAGGAGCGACCACTCGTCTGTACAAAGTCATGTTCACGACACTGCATCGTAGTGAAGAAAAAAAAATGCATTGTTATCATGCTATGCTCGCTTCAGCAATTCCCGAGGAAAATAGACACCGCCCCAGCCATGCCGCACAGTTAGGACATCCCGTACCTCTGTCGAGCATCATCCGCAAAACGCCGCCGTATATATGTGCCTGCCCTAGACGAATAGTGTGATACCCTGTGAAGAACGCCCAACCATCTTACACCTTACCACCATCCTCGGAATCGCTGTCCGGGAGAGACACCGACTTTGCTGTGCCGACCGTCGTGTTGTCCGTCTCCGTCGTGCTGCCGCCTGAGTGACTGTCGTCCGCATCCGTCTCCGTCGCCGTCGTGGACGCCGCTGACTTGATGGTGTGCGACTCCTCGCCCTCCGAGTCGAGCGCCGCCGTCACTTCATAGTGGACGCTCGGCAGGTTGGACTCGGCGTCCTGCATCTCGTCCTCGTCGACGTCGAGAACCATGTTGGGGTCGACGCATTCGTAAAAGAGCATAAAAACACCGGGTGATAGCGACATAACCGTCTCGTCGCTAACCTTACTCACGTTATGGTCGCTTAGTCGCCACCAAGTTGGCTCGCTAGCTATGCTAGCCTCAGTCAGCCTCTCCGTTTGTGTTGTGCTATCACTATCGGCATCAATAGCGTCCTCTTTTCCTGCCTCTTGCGCATCGCTGTTGGTTTCAGTCGTATATAATTCTTGCCCAAGGCTTTTTTGGGTTGATTTGGTGGAATCGTCTGACTGTCTGGCGGCAGCCTGGGGCTCGGCCAATAGTTCTGAAGCCATCTCCTCCGCCACGGGTACTGTTGATCCCTCTGGCCTTTCTTCCTCTACTGCTTCAGCAGCTTCGCTAGGAGACGGGCTGCTTGGCGCAGATCGCGGGTACTTGCGATAGCATATGTAGTGGCCGTTTTCGTGGCGGCCATAGTGCGTTACGGCTGCGCGCAGCTCGTAAATCGGACCAGAAAGCCGCGAGCGGCTACTGTCCCCCGCAATCAAAGAGGACATGGACCCCGTGGGCCACAGCTCCTCGTCATCGACGCCGCCCGACTTGGCGCCCGAGCTGCCTAGGCACCACGGGCCAAGGTCCAGCGTCATGGGAAACTGCACGGGCGCAGAGTTTTTGATCATATCAAAAGTGGCTGGATCAAACACGGACCGATTCATGTGCACGACCAGTGACTGCGGTGGCCGCCCAATCACTATTTGTTTTGTCTTGGTCGTCGTCACCTTGCTCTTGGGCGAAATCTTACATGCACCATGGAGAGTCTTTTCATCAAAGTCGTCTTCCTCCAAAGCAAGATTGACTGCCTCTAAGCGCCGTACAGGGTCAGCCAACTGCGCCTCTGGCATATTTTTCTCCTTCATCTTATTTAGGAGGTTCGTCAAAAGGTCCTGCGTTTTCAGGAGCGTGCACTTCGGGCACTCGACACCCTCAATTGCCTCGACCTTGGTGTAGGCGTCTAAACGCTCGTAGAGATCATGCTGATGCTTCTCCAGTCCAAGACTTAGTGTCAGACAATTGAAAGGGATCATGGAGATACCATCCGAGTGACCGCATCGGATACAGGCCACTCTCTGTGCGAGGAGGCCCTCGAGGGGATTTCGAACCAGCTTCATCTCTGACAATCTACTGTCGGGGCTGGCGCTTTGGTATCCACTATCATCGCTGTGTTCGCTGGGTGTCGCATCGTCCTTGACCGGTGTGTCACTTTCCAGCCCGTGCAGTGGTCGCCTCTCCTGGACTGCCGCGGTCACACCCCTTTCGATGTCATCCAATATTTTGGAGTAATATTCTTGTGCATCCTGCTGCGTCCACGTGCTCATCGATTTGAGGACTCTTGGCGTCCACAACGTCTGCCCGTTATTTTCGAGATCGTTTAGGTCGAATATCAGTGTTTTTAGTGTCTGAGCGACACTGTTGTTCGATTGTTCGGTGTCTAGATTCTCGAGGCAAGTCGACAGAAATTCCGGCATGGAATCCAGAGATGACAGACCCTGCAGGATGCTGTTCTGGTAGCAGGAATTATCAATATTGCCCAGCCCCGGCGGCCGATCGGATTCCGTCTGTATGCCAAAGACGCTGCTTGTGGCTGAGAGCGCGCGGCTTCTCGCCTTCATAACTGATGCCATCATGCCTCCGGGGCGATCTAGTCCTATGATACGGCGCATCGCATCGCTTTTGGCTGTGTGTGTATTACTGCTGTTCATCGATTGCGAAGGGTTGACCCAGCTGTCGAGAGCAAAGATGACACGGGCGGGTAGGATAAAAATGAGCGCCTCGAGTAGGATGTTGGCGGCTGATGTCACGACTGCGTCGAGGGTTGTTTCCTGGCCATACGCTCGGTAGAGAAATGTAGCCGCGAGGATCAGCAGCGAAATGCTCCAGCCTGACCAGTGAAGCTTTTGCCAGAGTTTGTCGCTTGTCGTGGAGAGGAGTTTTCGGTGCGCCGCCACGCGATGGTTGTAGAATTTGACGAGCTGCTCGTCTTCGGAGTTCATGCTGTAGATGGGGAGCGACCCCGACGTTTCAAGGGATCGAGCGCTCTCGTATATGATGCCTTGGTCAAGGGCGCAAAGATGGCTAGAGCTGTAGTGCCATGACAGGTTTTCGTCGCACGTGGGGGGAAATTCGCTTCCGCTAATACTGTCCTGTCTGATTGTATCTTCGGCTGCGAATTTCGTCTTGGTAAATATTTGTACAGAGGGTGGCGATGATTTTCTATCTTGTGTTTTGGTGTGTGAAGCTGTTGAATGGTAATCGTCGTTGCGCTGGCCGGTCCTCCCTGAGATGAAGTTGCGACATCAGAACTTTTGCAGCCACCTGCGCCGCTGTGGCGCTCCCTGCTGATTTGGCGGCGCTCTCACGTGCGAACTGTGGCGTGCATGTAAAACGGATTTGCCGGCCGGCAGCCCACTTCCTCCGTCAATCCGGGGTATGACGACAAGCTGCAAACACAATTCGGTTGACGAGACACGACAAAATGAAAATGGGGTTGCTAGCCGCGGTCCGATCTATGCGGTATTTAATGTTTGATCTAAGCATCGTGAAATCGCTACTAATTATGTTCAGCCCAGGAGCCGCTCTTGGACGAAGCTGGCTGTCGGCAGCTAACTCGGGCGTTCGGCCCAGCGCACGATTGTACTCAACAGTGCTAGAATCAAATGCGAGGGGACTTCTTTTGAGAAGTGCTGAATCTGGAAGACAAGCGAACACACTTCTGTAAGGAGCGTTTCGAAATTATGTGTTACGACCGGCTAACCAGTGTCAAGTTCAAAGTTTTGGCTTCGGTGAGTTGTATTGGGTGGCGGGATTTACAATGCATACTGACACAACTAGCGACAATTGCCGCTGTAATTTGTGCGTCAACCAGGATACCATGCAAAGGAATTACGATACTTTCGGGGTAAGTCCTCCGTTACGACAGGGCAGAGCTTTACTAACAAGCCCAGATCCCAGCAGAAATCGAGCCATCAGAAATCTCGCCGAAAAGTGATGGTGTAGAAATTACATGTATGCGACTGCACTCGTGGAATTTCAGCACCCTTTGATAAAGGTAACGCTAATTGACTTAGGGAACGACTCGCATAAAAGCTACTACCCTTGGTCGTGGTTTTATGAAACCTTGACTGCCCGTACAAACGATCGCGCACTGGCACAAAGGTAAGCTGTTGGCTTCGCGCAGACCACACCAACGAGCCGCAAAGCCCTGACAATTCGCAGCGAAAAGAAATTGTGGGGTGCTAGTATTGAAAACACCCCTCCAGAAGTTCCTTTTGAATCGGTCGTAGGCGCCAAAGACTCAAACGGTCTCGCGGAGCTGACAGACAAAATTGTGAGCCGCAGCCTACCACATGATGCAGGCTTTGTAACTAACGTCTGCAGCGTGCATATGGTCTCTGCTTCGTAACAAACACCCCCGCTACGCCTGAAGCTTCCGAGAAGCTGCTAGAGACAATTGGACCTATCCGAAATACGCATTACGGCGGCTTTTACGATTTTGTTCCTGATCTTGCCTTGGCGGATACGGCATACACGAACCTGGCGCTCGCGGCTCACACCGACACGACGTATTTTACAGAGCCGGCGGGCCTGCAAGCATTCCACCTGCTCTCGCATACACCTCCCCCGAATCAACGCCCCGAGGAGGCTCTCGGCGGCCAGTCGCTGCTTGTGGATGGCTTCCACGCTGCCTCGGTGCTCAAGCAAGAGTCGCCCGAGGATTACGAAACGTTGCGACGTGTCAAGGTGCCGTGGCATGCGAGCGGTAACCAAGGCGTAGCGATTGCACCAGACCGCGCGTACCCTGTGATTGAGGAAGACTCAACCCTGCGTAGGATTCGGTGGAACAACGATGACAGAGGCGTAATTCCGCTGGATGTCGACGTCAATCAGTGGTACAGGGCCGCGCGCAAGTGGAACGAAATTCTGACGCGCAAGGATAGCGAGTACTGGTTTCAACTTACACCTGGGAGGATGCTGAGTATGTTTGCGGTCGAATTTGGATTGGGATATGCCGCTAACCGAGTAGTCTTTGATAACTGGCGGGTACTCCATGGACGGAGCGCGTTTGAGGGTCTGAGACGCATCTGCGGTGGCTATAGTAAGTGACTTGCACTCGGAATTCAAGGAGTATACTGATTCTTTAGTTAACCGAGATGATTTTATTTCTCGATGGAAGACGTCCAACTTTGAGAGAGACGAGGTCATTTCGCATAATATGCAGCTTCGATGAGTGATGTTGGGGAAAGCGGTTTAGTGTTGGTTGGTCAGCGATCGCAGATTGTCTGCAATCGTACTGCTTTGGCTCCACCCGAAACCAAATATAGCAAATCTGGTTTCTCTTTCGGAACAACATAGCTTGAGAGTCGAGGTTGGCAAGGCGTGGTGCCATCAGGCTGATCTCAGCAAAGTTGAGCTGATTGCGAAGCTTGAGAAACCGTCACGAGCTGACTGCACCTCCCGCCGAGAATTGGCAGGCGCCTAAAGATCTCGTTTCGAATCTCGGGAGGTAGGACGTCCCAAGAAGTTCTGTCTCTAGCCATCTCGGATTAGGCTTATGGTAGGTTGGATTGAGAAGATGTAGTGTTTTGGGCCCTGTGATCTGGGGGGGGGGCACTGCAGCTCTTTATATTTCACCTTGAGGAAAATCCTAATAGAGGCCATATACATAACTAAGTGCAATTGTCTTTTTCTTTCAATAGACGCAGGGCACCGAGATGTGGCCGCCATGGCTATGTGGCCAATTTGAAAAACTCAGCGCACTAGGTATGCAAGATCCCCAATATCGCCTGCTCAAGATCTAGTGGTGTGTTAGCTGTGAGGGGCACCGTTGTAATCCTGCTATTTAAATGTCGGGGTTTAATAGGCAGGCCCTCCTGAATCAGGCGGCCCATCGTATTAAGTTTAGTAGTTATTCCGTACGTTGGTGTTGACGAGGATGTCCTGCCAACTTGTCACCCACAAGTGATGTTAAAGAAGCAGCGACGTTTAGTCGTGTAGGAGAATTATATCCTATCGAACTACAAACCCGGATTTTTGTAGTGGTCATCAAGTACCTACATAGTACCGACCTACTATCTACCTGGGCAGGCTCCTCTGGTGCATTTTTTATATAGATGTTTTTTCGGAAGTCGAAGGCGACATAACCTTTTTGTATGTTACGGGTGGCTAGACCACTATGTTGTACCACCAGACCACCTCCCATGCTCATCGGTACCTAACTTGCACTACCTCATACTAACCTATCATGCAACAGCAAAAGTGGAATCCACACCTACTGGCATGGACCTGGACCTTTTAGCATGCGGGTGACAACAAAAAAGGCCGTACACATAAGTCTACCTACACTGTATAAAAAAAGGTTTACCAGTAAAAGGAAAAGAGAGAATTAGAAGAAGTACGCACGATCAGAGGGATAAATAAGAGAAATTTAAGATTAGAAAGATAAAGAAGAATAAATGGGAAGAAAATAGTAAGAGTCCTGGGGAGTACTAAAGTACTGTTCAACCCGTTTGCCGCGTCTTATCCACTTTCTTGCCCCGCCAAAGCGCTCGACACTAATCCAACCCAGCCCCTCACCATCAAGAAAACGCGGCTCCTCGACTCGCATCCGTCTTCTGCTCAGCCACAGGCTTCCTTCTCAACACCTGTCTGATTTCCTCGATTTCCTCCCCGTCTCCGCCGGCCACCGCCCACTGCCGTAGCCATGGACGCCGAGCAGCACAACACGGTCGAGGACCGTCGCAGCCAGCAGGTCGACAATGCGATTCGTGCCATCCAGCGGAAGAAGCCCGTCCCCGAGATTGACTTTACAATCCATACCATGGAAGATGGCACCCAAGTTAGCACCATGGAGCGTGTTTGCAAAGGTACGCTGGGCTTCTGCTGCTGCGCAGTGTTCAGGCCTGTAAATGCCGCGTCGGCAACCTGCGCGACACGCGAGCAAAACCCGATGATTTGCGCATCTTGAGCTTGATTACAATGCTAACCGACCCATCCTTGCTGCAGATGTGCAAGCACCGGCTACTTCCAAGCCCACAGACGAGCAATTCTTCTCGGATAGCACCCGCACCAAACCCGACATCCACTTCCTTAAGCAGCACTTTTACCGCGAGGGTCGCTTGACCGACGAGCAGGCCCTATTTATTCTCAGGACCGGTGCCGATGTCTTGCGCGCAGAGCCCAATCTGCTCGAGATGGACGCCCCCATCACCGTCTGCGGTGATGTCCACGGCCAGTACTACGACTTGATGAAGCTCTTCGAGGTCGGCGGCGACCCTGCCGAAACACGCTATCTCTTCCTCGGCGACTACGTCGACCGTGGCTACTTTTCCATCGAGTGTGTCTTGTACCTTTGGTCCCTCAAGATCCACTACCCGAAGACGCTCTGGTTGCTGCGCGGTAACCACGAGTGTCGTCACTTGACTGACTACTTCACCTTCAAGCTTGAATGCAAGCACAAGTATTCCGAGGCCATCTATGAGGCCTGTATTGAGGCCTTTTGCTGCCTGCCCCTCGCCGCCGTCATGAACAAGCAGTTTCTTTGCATCCATGGTGGCCTCAGCCCCGAGCTGCATACCCTTGACGACCTGAGAAATGTACGAGTCATAATCACGACCATCACAGTGCCTTGTGGAACCCTTCCGCTAACAAACCACTTTAGGTTGATCGATTCCGAGAGCCTCCTACGCAGGGTCTTATGTGCGACATTCTCTGGGCTGACCCGCTTGAAGACTTCGGACAGGAAAAAACGAGCGACTATTTCCTACATAACCACGTACGAGGATGCTCGTACTTCTTCTCATATCCCGCAGCATGTGCCTTCCTTGAGAAGAACAATCTGCTCTCCGTCATTCGCGCCCACGAAGCTCAAGACGCGGGCTACCGAATGTACCGCAAGACTAAGACGACCGGTTTTCCCAGTGTTATGACCATCTTTTCCGCTCCGAATTACCTCGACGTTTATAACAACAAGGCCGCGGTTCTCAAGTATGAAAATAACGTCATGAATATCCGGCAATTCAACTGCACACCCCATCCATACTGGCTACCAAACTTTATGGATGTTTTTACCTGGTCGCTGCCCTTTGTAGGAGAAAAGATCACAGACATGTTGATTGCAATCCTCAGCACGTGCTCGGAAGAGGAACTCAGAGAGGAGACACCGTCATCGGCCTCGCCAGGTCGTATTTCGCCACCCGTCGTCTCGACTCCCGATGACCCCAACTCGATTGAATTCAAGCGCCGAGCGATCAAGAACAAGATTCTTGCCATTGGTCGCATGTCTAGAGTGTTCCAGGTCCTCCGCGAGGAGGCAGAGCGTGTCACTGAGCTTAAGACGGTCGCTGGCGGTCGTCTGCCTGCCGGTACTCTGATGCTCGGCGCGGAAGGCATCAAGAACGCTATCAGTTCTTTTGAAGATGCTAAAAAGGTGGACATCCAAAACGAGCACCTACCTCCCAGCCAAGAGGAAGTCATCAGGCACCATGAAGAGGAGAGGAGTATTGCCATGCAAAAGGCTGTGCACGATGCGGACAATGACAAGAAGCTGCATCAGCTGTCGAGAAGACTTAGCACGTAGGTTCATGGCACCATGTCTCAAATACTGTTGACTAACTCAGACCGCTAGGGACCGCAAACCCGCTTCCCGCTCGTAGACCGAGAGGCGTTGTGCAAGGCATGCGGCGTCGGAATACTTGGCTTGAACACTGGGATGTAAGGATACCAACGGCATTTGGAATAAAGAGTGCAATGCACAATCATCATTTGAAATGGCCCAGCAGGCTGGTCTTGGTACAAAGCAGATCAGGGCGAAATTGCGCGGGTCGACGTAAATATCAAGAGGAGAAGATGACGAACGAAAAGGCTCAGGGAATTATATAAGCAGTGATGGATCCTGGGTTTCCAGACGACGGCAGTGTCTGGAAGCACGGTCTTGGGCTATATAGTGTCACGAGCACATTTAAGTACATTGAATGTTTATGATGCTGGTGATTCTCCCCATGGATCCAGTTTACGAGACCTGTAGATCACTCCGTAAGACAGCTTGAAAACTCCCGGCTCACCTGTGTATACAGTTTCTGTTTCGTCGCTCAACCTTGGGTCATGGCGGCTTGGTCGCCACAAGCATCTGACACGGCCAGAGACCAAACATCATCCTCCAGCCGACAGACGAGACGACCACATCGGTCCATCCCTCGTCCTCCAGCACGGATCTATGCTCCCCAAAATACCCAAACAAGTCGACAAGCACGATCCGCCCACCCGGCGCGCACACCCTTGCCATTTCTCGTACAGCGCACCTGCGTCCCTCACGCCCGGCATTATGCACCGCCAAGCTCGACGTGACGAGCGCAAACGCGCCGTCCACAAACGGGAAGCGCACTGCAAAACTCGCCGCGTGCAGGACTGTGTCTTCCACGACGCCGAGCGCCGCCGCGTTGCTGTAGGTGGCTTCCGGGGTGTTGCTGGTCTGGTCAGCCCCGCGGAAGATGTCGATGCCGTAGGCGTGCGTGTGGCGGCCGGCGAGCTTGAGGAGGACGAGGCCGCGCCCGCAGCCGACGTCGAGGGCGGGCGCCTCGGAAGGGGCAGCAGGAGGCAGCGAGGCGAGGATGGTGTCCCAGACGGTGGATTTGCCCCGGAGCGTGGCGTAGAGGTAGAGAGGCGCGAAGAGAGAGGAGAGGACGAGCCCGAGCGGGGAGTCGATGCCGTAGGAGGGAGATGAGGGGGTGGGTGGTGGTGAGCCGGAGTGGGCGATGCTGTGGATGAGGTTGACGGGAGGAGGGTCGATGGCGTAGATGCTGGGTGGTGGTGGTGACATTTTGCGGTGACTAGGGTGCGGCTTTGTCAGAGAGCTTGGATGAAAGAATATGGCGATGGAAGTGAGTGGATAACGGGGGTTTATGTGTTTTGGAAAATGAGAGTAAAGAGTGAGGTTGACGAGAAGTCAGCTTGAGGCAGTGTAGACTAGCTCAGCCCAGCTGAAAATGTAGCTTGTCAATGACTGCCAACACATCTCATCTCATCCTGGCGACGCAACTGTTCGAAGGGACTTATATATATAATGCAGGTGCGTATCATGTGTCGAAAGAAAGACTATAGATCTAGAGGAGTTGCGCCGGCAATGGCATCGCGCAATCGGCCGTCGCAAGGTCGATGGGTTGTCTTTGAGCTACTGATGCGCCCGGCGGATCTCGGTCGGAGTCGTTGACGCTTTAGCTGAAGTCATCTCGAAGAGGTTGAAGATAAGGCTTACTGCTGTCAATGTCGGTATATATAGTCCAACCCGAGACTGCTAGACATGGCAATCAGTGCCAGCCTAACTGTCACGGATACCAGCGTCTCTACACTATGGCCTCATAACACTCCCTTGCAACCTTGACGGGATCATACGAGAAACACCAGTCCCGCACTCGTTGATCCGCTAGTCCATACGTCCAGCTCCCCGTTGCCAGCGCCGCGTCCCCGACCGTCGCATCGCGCAGTCCATCCGCCCTGAGCGCCGCATACACCTCGTCCCGCACCGCTCGGTCCTCGACATGCAAGACGCGGCCGCCGTGCCGGCTCGCCTCACGCACCAAGCCCACGCGTTCCTCTCTCGCGTGCTCAAATGCCCGCAGCGCCGTCTTGAGTTTGTCGTGGTCGGCAGCCGCCGCGGGACAGGCGAGGTCCAGGACCGTCACCAGAGACACGGCGTCCTCCACGGCCATGCTAACGCCCATGGACAGGTAAAAGGACATGGCGTGCGCGGCGTCGCCGACGAGCGCGAAGCGGCCCGCGGGGTGGGTCCAACGCGGCAGCGGCGGAACCTCGTGCACGGGATAGTTTTGCATCTTGGGCAGCAGCGTCGCGATAAGCCGCTGCACTCTGCGACTCTGTGTTAGCCAGGGGGGGGGGGATTCTCTGCGTGTAGGCTTTGTTAGAAGGCAGACAGCGTACCTGGGTTCGAAATCCTGGACAAGGTTCTGGGCAAACGCCCTGTACTGGTCGGGCGTGTACTGCGACATGTCGACGTCGTCGGGGTGCGAGAGCACCACGTTGAGCAGCGTGGCTTCGCGGATCAGATACGCCATGACGGACGAGCCCGGCGCGATCCACAGGTGCGAGCTGTACGTCTCGAGATCAATGAGGTCGGCGAGCAGCGGATCGGCCTTGATCTGCGCCACGGCCGCCATGGTGCGGAGCGCCGCCATGCCGGTAGGCTGCGAGTCGGCGTGTGCGTCGCCCAGCAGCTGGCGTCTCGCCAACGAATTGATGCCTGCCAAAAGAAAAAGTCAAAAATCGAATCAGACACACACAGAGCCTGTGGGCCGGGGCGGCTCCCCTCTTCTCACCATCGGCGCCAAGAACCAGATCGGCCGCCACCCGGGTCCCATCGTGAAGGTCCACCGCGCCGCTGGCAAAATCGTACCGCAACACGCGGCTATCCAGCCGGAGCTGCGCGCCGGCCAGGACGGCGTGCTTGTGCAAGAGGTCGTGCAGCACGGCGCGGTGCACGACAATATACGGTGCGCCGTAGCGCGCCTCCATGGCGCCGGTTGGGATCGCGGTGAGGGGCTCGCCGGAGCGGCCATCGCGGACGGTCATGTGCGCGGGCACAATGGATGCGGCGAGGATGTCGGCGCGCATGCCCCACTGGAACAGGTACCGCATCGCTAGGGGTGTCATTTGCACGCCGGCGCCCATCTCGGCGAGCGCAGGGGCGGCTTCGAGCACCACGACGCGGTGGCCGGCGCGGGCGAGGGCGAGGGCGAGGGACAGGCCGGCGATGCCGGCCCCTACAATGGTGATTTCCATGGGTTTGCGTGTGCGGGGAGATGGCAAAGTGAGACAGTGGTACGTGGCGGATTTCTTTCCGGAGGGGCTAAGGAAGAGGAAGATGCGCTTGGTTTTATGTGGTAGCCTGGTAGCACCGACAAGGCGGGCCGGGGCCGTCAAGTGGACCGGCGGCAGTTCCGTGATCCGGAACGGAACGCAAAGAGCATTAATATGCAAGTATGGAAGCATTTTAATTCAGAGGGTCATAGAAGTAATCATCAGACGGGAATTACTCATAATCATGCCAGAACTCGGGTCAAACCGTTTCATCGAGGCACTATCCTTGCCAGGTGAATTCTATGTGCTGTACTCCTTTGCCGCACCAGCCCGGAGTACCAACTGCAAGCCCGCGCCAACTGCAAACTCGCTCTTAGAACCGTAGAATGCACTCATAACGCGCATTATTGTTCGTATCTTGTCTGGTTTACTAGCATACTACTGAACTCTTTACCACTAGAGACTGTTTGATCATAGGTCACTAAAATAGATACAGCTAAGGCCAGACTTTGTGATATTTTCAAAGCAGTAATTTATTTGGGTACCTAATTCTAAACCTTGTTATTATTAGAGTTGAAACTCACTCCCCACCGCGGGATATCTAGTACAAAACCTTGTAGTCAGCCTTGATGGCGTCGGCGCCCTTTTCCGCTACCATGTAGACGGAGTTCTGGATGCGGCAATCAGGAATGACGGGAATGACGGAAGCATCAATGACACGCAGGCCCTTGACACCGAAAACACGGAGCCCGGCGTCAACGGCACCCTGCTTGATGTTCTTACCAATGCGGGCGGTACCGCAAGGGTGGAACGAGGTCTGGCAGCGGTCCAGGACGGTGCGTTTCATGGCCTCCTCGTCGTCGAGGGGCATGTCCCAGGGGTACTCGTCCTCGACAATGTCCTTGAAGCCCGGACCGTTCTTGAGGATATCGTAGGAGAAGCGGATACCCTCGCGGACAGCGATGATATCGAGGTCATCGTTGAAGTAGTTGAGGTTGATGTTGGCCTGCTCCAGCGGGTCGGCGCTGTTGAGGGTGACGGTGCCGCCCTCGGAGACGGGGCGGACAAGGTCGACCATGACGGTCATGTAGCTGCCGCGCTTGGGGTGGGGGAAGTGCCACTGGAAGGCGCTGCCGAAGAGGGGAATGAAGTCAAGCTCAAAGTGAGGCTGGCCGTACGGGCAGAAGGGGTCCTTGTTACCGTTGGCGGCCTTGCGCTGGCGGTACTCGGGCGACTTCTCCAGATACTTGTCAATACGGGGGAAGCCAATCATCTCGAGGAAGGGCGAACCCATGGCGCCGGCGTGGTTGTGCTTGTAGGCGGCCAGCAGCTTGTCCTGGTCGGGGCCCTTGCGGAGGACGTGGCTGTCCATGGAGAACTCGTCCTTGATGCGCAGGACAAAGGGGACGCCAGGGTGGTCGAGCAGATGCTGGCCGACGTGCTGGGAGTCGACGAGGACGGGGATGTTGTGCTTGGCGAGCTCCTCCTTGGGACCGATGCCGCTCAGCATGAGCAGCTTGGGCGACTCAAAGACACCCTCGGACACGATGACCTCGCGCTCGGCGTAGAAGCTCAGCTCGCCGCCCGAGGGGGCGATGACGGTGACACCCTTGACGCTGCCATCGGCCTGGTCGATGATGAGCTTCTTGGAGTGCGTCTCGGCCAGGACGGTGATGTTGGACTTGCCCTCGAGGGCGAGGAAGCTGCCGGAGCGGCGGCCCTGGTAGATGGTGTTGACGCTGTGGACGAGGCCGCGCATCTCGCCGTCAAAGATGTTCTCCGAGACGGGCTCGCCGGTCGACTGCCAGGCCTTGGTGAGGAGCTGGCGGAAGGGGGCCATCTCGGGCATGAGGCGGGCGTGGGAGATGGGGATGGGGCCGCCGGCGCCAATCTTGGCCAGGGCCTTGGGGTAGAGACCCTCGTCGTCGTGGTAGGTGACGCTCTTGCGGAGGTAGGGCAGGAGATGGTCCCAGGTCCACTCCTTGCCGCCGTACTCCTCCCACATGTCAAAGGTGCCCTTGGAGCCGGGCACCCAGGAGAAGTAGTAGAGCGAGGAGCTGCCGCCGAGGGCCTTGCCGCGCGTGTTGGGCTTCTCGATGCGCTCGTAGTCGGGGCGCTTGACCATGGTCGTCTTGTAGGCCCAGTCGTACTGGCTGCCGCGGATGTCCATGGCGCGGCCGGGGGTGCGGATCTCCTCGTTGTCGCGCGAGGAGCCGATGCCGGCCTCGACGATGAGGATGCGGACCTTGGGGTTCTCGGCGAGGCGGGACGCGACAATGTTGCCGGCGGTGCCGCCGCCGACGACGATGAAGTCAAAGCGGGATCCGTCCTTGATGGCCATTTTGAACAAGTGTTGGGAAGGGCTGATGGGATGAAGTGTAGAGAAGGAAGCAAAGGTCTTGAACTTGATGAACTGTTGACAAGGATTAGGGGTTTCCCAAGACTACAACTACGCGAGGTTTATATATTGTGCTTTTTGTGGCAAATAAACCCTGACACACGGCAATCCCGGCTGTTTATCGAATCTGTAACTGCATTTCGACTAGGACCACATTCCTGATACGGAAATACTAAGTTCGGCAAGCAAGGGACCTAGTCGGTGCGGATCTCGCTCGGCCAGTGCCAAGCTGAAGTGGTGGGGTGGCTGGTAATAGAGGATCAACATGAGGCTGCCCCAATAAAAGTAAAAAACAGATGACTCTTGCACGTCGGGACATTAGCATCGCTGAAAGTTTAGACGGAAGCAGCGAGAGAGAGAGAGAGAGAGAGAGAGAGAGAGAGAGAGAGAGTAGTAGTACTACGAAGAGAAGTAGTTCGTTTACGGCGGACGGAGGCGGAGGAGACGAAGGAACAGTACGGT